TGTGTGTGTGTGTGTGTGTGTGTGTGTGTGTGTGTGTGTGTGTGTGTGTGTGTGTGTGTGAAAGAAGAAGAAGGAGGAGGAGGACGAAGAAGAGATGGAGGACGAGAACAAAAAGAAGAAGAAGAAGATGTCGTCCTCCTCGCTGTCTCACCTGCAGGTAACTGCCACCCTGCGTTGACGTGACGGTGTGTCCTCTGTGCTGCAGGTCGCTGGTGAGAAGTCCAGCTAAGGGCCTGGCCACGAATGGCGAAGGCCCAAAATGTGGCCTTTGTCCGAACAGACCGTAACTCTGTTCGGGCACACTGCAAGCCCGAAACGACGTCTGCAACAGACAAAAATAGAACAGCAAATAAATAAATAAATAAATAAATAAATAAATAAATAAATGCTGCCTCAAATCGATCCCTGCAGCCCCAAAGGCTGGCCGTGGGCCTCCAGGGCGTGTGCCTAAATGGCGTGCGGCCTGGCCCCCCCCAGCAACCGTCGGGCCCCCGAAACGGGTCCTGTGTGCAGGCTCACCATGTAACACCCCCCCCTCCTTATGAAGTCAAGCCAGGTCCAGGGCGAAGCTGACAATCCGAAGGTGGAACCTGGACGCGAGTACGGCGTGGATCCGAAGGTGCCGACTTGCCTTGCTGCTTGCGTCCATAACATGCAAGGACTTCGAGGGCTGTGGCCTGGGGTTCTGCACAGGTCAGCCAACGGTCAGCCTTATGGCTACAATAGGAAAAGTGTACCAAGTACTCCGTCGGCTTGTTGCCTTACCGTCGCTGCGAGATGATGATGTCACCGACCTCTTGGAAACCATCCATGGAGGGTGGGTCTTGTGATCGTCGCCCGAGCAAGTTGCCGCGTTCCACTGAACCAAAAGGAGCCAACTTTGAACAACGGAAGACCGGGTAGACAGGCAAGTGGGCGGGAATTACAAATGAGGGCCCTTCCGGTGCGTCTCCACTGGGCGCTACAATGCACCAAGGGCCCATCCATTTTGGGAGGAGCTTGCGAGAGATATCTTGCTTGAGGCTGAGTTCCGCGGCTCGCCAACGCGGAATGGACAAGGAAGGCACTGGCGATTGGTTTGACGGCTCATTCGTTGCTGCATCTTCAAGATCCGCCAAATGAACGCGAGGTGGTCGTCGCTCTCGGTCGTCCATGGAATGATAGTGTCCAAAGGCGATATGACTGGCGATCCATGCTCGAACTCGAAGTGTGAAATCCCGATAGCCAGATGAATGGACAAGTTGTAAGCCAACGCGACGTCCGGCAGCCGCTCAACCCAATCCTTTCGGACGGGTTTGCGGGTGGCAAGCCGAACTCGGCTTGAGAGATGAGCCCCATCGTTTGAGGAGACCAACCCAAAAGTTGGACATGAACCGAGTCTCGCGGTGGCAAACAATCTCCTTCGGGTAACCCTTGGTGCGAATCCAACCGTCGTAAAAAACCTCGGTCAACTCTGCTGCCTTGGCATGATAGCGGCAAGGCAAAAACATGGCGAAGTTGGTGAGTCAATCGACCATCATGAGAATCCTATCCATGTCGGTCTTGTGCTTGGGGAACGACCCGGTAATATCCATGGCAATCGACTCCCGTCGTCCTAAGGGGACCGGTAATGGTCGCAACTCGTCGAGCAGGCGATGGTTGCGGGATTTGCAACACCGGCAAACCTCGCATGACTCACAATAGCGTGTGACGTCACCAAGAAGGTCGGGCCACCAAAAGCGCTCGCAAAGTCAGACTCCAAAGTATCCGGTGGCGGGAGCGTCGTGGAACTCGCCAAGAAGCCGCGTACGCAAGTGTGGATCACTTGGGATGCAAAGAAGATCCTTCCCCCGCGAGTGGACTAGCAAATAGCCCTCTTGGATCCGATAATATGATGGCGCCGGATTTGGAGAGGAGCAATTTGCGTATTTGTCGTGAAACTCGGGGCCGACTTGGTAGCCGTGGATGAAGCTGTCCCGCAAGTCGTCGTCAACCTCGAATGTCAAGTAGACTGCGGTACAAAGGTTCGGGCGCCGTGGAAGAGCGTCCGCAAAATGGTTTGACTTTCCCGGGATGTGATCGGGGAAGAAGTCAAACTGGCCGATGAAAGCCATCCAACGGTCAATGGTACTATTGACCGTGTCCTGGGTCTTGTAAAAGACCGACGAATTGTTATCCGTTACCCATCAGAATTGGCTTTGACCTAGAAGAAAATGCCTCCACCGCTTAAGCGCGTGTACAAAGGTCAACAACTCCTTCCGTGCGTCGTCCTTCGAGTGCATGGCGGGAACCTTCTTACTAAAGTACTCGACCAGGTGCCAATCCATGCCATCGTGTTGCTTGAGGATGGCACCAATGCTATAG